GAAAAACGTGCAAGCAAGAAAATGCCTGTTGCATCATGCATCAGAATGTTTACAGTTGGTATTGCGCAGGTTTGATCTGCCGATAAGTGATCACTGTGCCGAAGGATAAAAATTAATTGATTTGGGCTTCATTCTCACAAACACGTTTTGTGTGACTTTGTGTGGCAACGTCTGCTGATAATTTAAACTGTTTTCATCAAATGTAGATAATGGGTCATCCAATTTCCGAGATATCGAACTGCACATCCAAGAATCAGCCAGCTTATTGAAATATACTATTCAAAATCAGTAAAACCTGCCGCGTATGAAAATTACAGACAGTGGACATCCTACGTACTTTCCGCTGGTTTGTCCGTCAAAGTGAGGTTTTCTTTTCCTTAATATCTCAGGTTAAATCGTCCACAATCTAGGAGAAGTGCGACATATGAATTACTAAAATCAGCGTATTTAGCTGATAGTATTCAGAATTCTAGCTCTCATTCAGATGCGAAGGTCAGCTTTAAAGTCCATCTCGCGACGGCATGCTCGCAAACCGACTTGACTATTCTACGAATCAGTAATTTGTCCAGAACATGGGCAACGAAAAATAATAATTAACTAGGTGGTATTTGTTCGCAATACCTTACGCTTGATTGCAGTGTTTGTCCTTATTATCCAAAGCTCCTATTCTCATAAAAGCGTTCGATTCAATCCTACAGCTCATTTCAGTAAGATTACTATTTATACCGACCGAACGTGATACCTAGGAGCCTAACAAAAACTCAAGTATTAACGTTCCGTAAACAATTAGGAGTATACTGGTTTGCATAAACGCAGAGACGGGAAAGCAGTATTTCAGTGATTTATAACGACAACTGACGCCAACGACCGAATACGTGTGTTTGGCGTTATATTGTTTTCTACATCCGCGTTAAGGTCATTCTTCCCTCCTGTAAACTTCCCCGGATACGATGGCTTTACAGTCTCCCTGACAGCTCTTATACGAGCAAACATGCGCATCCGAAAGTCCGTAGTCGTTTCTGTAATTCAAAACACACTTGTAGTTGTTCTCACAAACCAATACAGACTGACTTTGTCAAGGATGGTCTAACATCTGCGACACTTCAGTAGATTCATTAGCAGCCGCTACGGCCTGAGACGTTAGTCTAGGGCTCCATGCAGAATAATTCATTCTATTCTGTTAGTCCCTGTTTCTCATGATAATAGATACTTGGCCTGGTGGTTATAAATCTGCAGTCCTATATCTGGTTAACATTGGACTTGAAACAATCTTGTTTCCGTTATATAATCTAACAATACACTGAACTATCTATTTTAATGCCAAAATTTGGAAACGTTTAAGCGCACACGAAGTTGACAGCAGATAAAAGGGACAACCAAGAGCTATCTTCCCAACATAAAAAAGATGTACGAATAGTTAACATGCTGATATAGTCAGTTCACTCGACCGAAATGAATTTAAATTCACGGTTCTCTCTGGGGACACCGTAGATCAGAAATTATGCCACCTTCTGCGGGGCTGTTTCCTATAATTCTCCTGTTTGTTTCTAATGCTTGTTAGAGCTGAGCGTTCGTATTTTTGCACTCTAATCTCCACCACTTACAGTAAGTAACCGATCTCTTGAAATGTTGGCTGACATTCTGAAATGCGTTTTCGATGAGGAAGGTTTACTTGGTCACGGTTGTAAGACTGATTATCTTAAGGCATACTCTTATAGCACTTCGGACGCGACAGAATGTCGGCTTTTAATTGCCCAATAATTTGGAGCCTGATCATTCGTTGCATTAGCGCTTAGTGATTTCACTCTACAAGGTGCATGCGCTCCGCGTAAAGAAAATCACATACTTTTCTATGCCATTAAGGAGATATAATACAGAGTCTATAAAATTTTCCAATGAAGGCGGACCATGCTGTACATTTCATGAGGAGCAGTGGTAAACGGCCAGATACGATGCAGTGTGAATGGACATTTCGCGGTCTTAAAAAGTCTTATGATTAGAAGCTTTTTTAAAACCTAATTATACTCCTTCCTTTAAGTATAAAATATAAAGAGGATATGATTCTCTATTGATTGACTAAACGAAAGCATATTTTGTTTATGGTTTCTATAAAATATATTTGAATTTGCAAGACCATCGAAAATAAATGAGAAAAATGCATGCTACTTAAGTAGCCATTTTTTACCGAGTACGCTTTCTACAGGAGATTGAAAAGAAGTGCATTTAAAAGCCGACATCGTGCCGAGAGTATGCCTTAAGATAATGAGTATTGCAACCACGACCAAGTAATCCTTCCTAATCGAAAACGCATTTCAGAATTGCAGCCAACATTTCATGAGATCGGTCACTCGCTGTATGGCCACTTGTAGCTGAGCTGTTTTTCCCTACTTGCCTGACTTAAGTTCTTTTTACCGAACCTGTTATCTTCCGCGGTGTTGGCTAGTGCGCAATCAGTCGAATTCGCTCCGGCATTGTTAGATAAATTTTTACCGTATCGCAGACTTCAAAGTAGTAGTTGTTTAGAGGCATTCTGATATTCTCTGAGTGCCGCGGACGATAAGGCCTTTGCTCCGAGCGCGCACTGACCTTGGAAACCATTTGCCCGGCAGAAGTAATAAAGTTGCAGTTGCCCGTGACAACCCGGGTAGCTATCTCTGGCCTCATTTTATTGGAGTCAGAAATGTTTTCGCCTAGGTGTGGGGATATGTAGTTAGGGCAGTGTACTATTTTGGTCGCTGCAAATTGAACGCAAGCAAAGTTCCAGCAGTTACGACGCCATTCACAAAATTACGTTCTATCCACCACGTAACTGCGACTAAGTTGTTTCGCTTTTTGGACGATCTGAAGGGCGCTGGCGTGATAACATTCGACTTTTGAGCTACTAGCAATGAGTGTACTGTATGGCCCAACACGTCTGCGTTCTTTCAGTTTGAAGAGCGATTTTGATTCGCCAATCTGAAAAAATAAGGCTTCAAAATGACCTCCAAGTACTCCTCAAAACTCACTTGCATCAAACGAACACCACTGTCATAAACTCTTGCCTTGATGGCAGTTTAAAGAATAGGACAGGTAACTTTGCTCATTCAGTCCACAATTTTTAACGCAGGGGAGTTTCAATAATGAGCAGACTTGTGCTTATAACAGCCAAAATGTACGAGAGCTACTAAGAATACGACTGAAACCATCATAAATAACCAAATTTGACGAACCTGTCAGGTGATGCGTTTGGTTTGATACTGTTAGGATTAATCAGAAGGAGTCTAGACAATTTGTTCGAAAAAATGGGCTTAGCCTTTCCTGTATCTCCCCATACACGCAACATGCTAAATAGAAAGCTGAAGTCATTTAATGTAAAGCTAACGCCACAACTAAACACTATTTACAGGAATGTATAGAATAAATAAAATCTGGATGTAGGCTAAACGATGACGACATTGATTTGGAGAGGGTTTTCAGAATCCCTTTCATGTGACGAGTTTCACGTTAATGGGAAAATTAACAGGAAAATAAAAGGTGCTAGGACGTTAACTAGTATAGGGATAAACCGCAATTACTGCAATTCCAAACCGCAACGCTCCAAGATCAAATATACTGTGCGTTAATGACGCATAAGAAGTATATTTCCCAAAATACGTCAATAATTAAACAGATCATATTTTCACGTGCGCATAAATAATCAGTCTTCGTATTCCAAAAGCACGTTTGGAGCGGTTCTATAAGCTTTAATCCGCCAGAATGAAGCACTGTTTAAGATTCATCTTCAAAACGTTGTCCGGAACCACGTTCTTTGGGGAAAATCAACTCAAATTTTGATCAGCATGGAGTGTACTCGGCGCCGAGGAAGTTTACGATGAGAAAACTCACTTTACTATAATCATTTTGAGGAATCGGGAGTACAATTAGTCAGCTCTTAAACAATTCAACTTTCAACTGGGAACCCGGATGACAGCGTAAGGTCAAAACGCATGAGGATGTAAAAACCTGCACGACTGCAAAAGGTAGCAGTTACCAGACTGACCCTGTATGGGGACAATTTACGCCGATCGGACGATAAGTACTGCGGACGGAGAAACGCTAGCATTATTCTGACTCTGGAACCCCAGTTGACAGTTAAGGACGGCCAATGCACAGTAAAGGCAGTATTCCCACCCCCCCCCAGTTCAAAACTCGGTGAGTGGAAATCACAGTGGCCTCCGTGAGCCGAAGGAGCCTATCTTCGTCGAGTAATTGATGGATGTGGTATACTCTGTTGACTGCCACCTCCCACACAAAAGGGAAGTTTGCGGCTCGGCTCCGTCTCCATGCGGCTCCCCAGCTGCATGTGTGTGACTCGAGTCTAAGACTATCACGGGGCGTCCAGAACCGTGGCTTGGAAAGTTGCTGACCGACGTCTTAACTCAGTCCACGCAGTCTGCCCAATTGTGTGTGTTTGTGTGGAGTGGTAGACTGGCGGCTGAAAGCCAGGCTGACCTACGGCAGTCTCAAGTATGTGAGATGTACGCTGCTGAATCCCTGCAGTGTGAAATCCTGGTGCTTGTGTTTGGGGGGCCAGGTCGTGCATGTGGCGCGCGCAGACAAGGTCACTAGACTATGTCTGCCAACGTGCCCATGTCCGCCCATGTCAAATGACCGGCTCGGATAGTGACTGGGCCTGGGAATGGGAAAGGCGAGTGAGGTCGACAGCTCAGCGCATTTTCCTCACTGCAAAAAATCTGACGTGCTTGAGGCTATCACTGTTTGCTAAAAACCCTGGCTTGGAAGGTTGCCAAGTTACAGGATGACCTGGATCTATCAAACAGCCCATTGCTGTGTGTTTGTGTGGAACGGCAGACTGGTGATCTAAGAGTCAGGCTTGAATGACGCCTTCATAATGTGGCATTTATGGCACTCCCATTCCTTGGGATCCGACCTAGGTGTGGCGGCACGTCTAGGCACGGTTAAAATCCAGGTCATTTGCGGTGTGGACCAGGAGGTTTGAAGTGGAACGCCAGGGTGCAGGCTCAACTGCGCCATCCGCCTGCGCCCTCGTTCGTCTCCGGCCTTCGTGACTCAGTCTCGACACCAGACTCAGGTGCAGAGACGGCGGAGGAGGAGAGAGCGTGGCAGGAGCTGCGCAAGTCGACCTTCACTATAAACAAAACCACGCGCATGTCACCGTGTCTGCTTCACCTTGCTGTGAAGCAGACACGGTGGAAGTCGTCTACAACGACGGTCGAACTATACTCTGTTAACACAATGATTATAACATGCGGACCTCGCCATGCGTGTGGCGTGGGAACTACGAGTGTTAATAGCTACTGAGTAACCCAGAAAACTCTGTGAATTTCGTATACTTTCAATTCCCATGTAACTGTTTTGGGCTGATGACGAGTTACCGAAAACGCGTCTTTTCCTAATTAACTTTTCAGTGGCAACATGGGAATGTTCGTAGAACAACTTAAACGCCATAAAAAGCCAGTGGGAAATAATCTCTAAATATCAAGGATGAGCTAATACGACGATCAGGGCGATACTTATTTGAGCACTAAGGCTTTAAATTCTACGCCTCTTTATGTGTTTGGATTTTGCTAGAAGAACCGAATTAGAGGTCCGCCGAAAAGGCGGGAGGCACAACACCCTCGGATCCTTGAGCAGTTAGCAGGAGCATTTTGATGCTTTGCAATTTACTTCGATTTTAACGTAAACTAACCGTATTATTCAAATTGTTACGCAAAGCAGAAAGAGGGAGATTACCAAACAAAAACCGGGGAGATTGGGCTGGGCATTTCTGGGTTGTTCGCCGTCACCAGTCAGCCCTGTCCAACCCTTGTTGTGGGCAAACCTAGTCTCGCTCCAGCGCTCGTAAACACAAGGCCACGAGTTACTTTCCCCCGCTGGTTACGATCAGAAAGGTTGAAAACATGTTCACCGGCCAGCTTATAGGGCACGCTTGATCAAGAATCCTGCGGGGAGTAGCTCACTGTCTACTAATATACGCAAAGAACGACTACCAAAAAAGACAAAGGAGGCCGCAATGTCCATTCTCCGCTTATAAACCGTCGTCGGTCAGTCATACCCCACCCCAGGTTTGAGGACGTTGTTACGTCCAACGTTCTAACCACTGAGTCGTGGATTCTTTGTCTCACCGGTTGGGATCGAGAATACTAACTCGTGAAGAAGGAGACACGATCGCCAGGACAAGAGCTTTATTAGCCTGACGTTTCGGATTCCTACTCGAATCCATCATCAGAGACAAAAGAGCAGAAACGGGTGGTTGTTGCAAAAGGGGCTGCGGTATTTATAGGATGCAGTAGCCATGCTACCGCATACCTATGAATGTTCACGACTCCCCACTTCATCCGGGATTGTCATAGTTGGCGTGATCATTGCTTGATGGCCGACATTCGAGTCGATAATTGCTGCCATTTCATCCCGTGCGTTGGATGTTGGCGTGATGATTGCTCGACCATCTGATGCGTTGACCCGGGTGTTGGGAAGAGTGTTCACCAGTGCGCTCCCCGCGTGGCCAATTACTCCGCCTAGACGAAGTCTCAGCACGCTGTATTGAATGGGAAGATCGTTGCACTTGTTGATGGACTGGGAGCCAGTAAACCATGATTCCAGTAGCTCCCGGCTCACTCCGTTGTCACCTCTTGCGAGAAATTCGGCCTCATCGAATTTAAATGTGTGGCCGGATCTCGTCGAATGAGCCGCAACTGGAGAGCTGGAGTCATTTATGCGTACCGCTGCCGCATGTTCGGCCATTCTGGTTCGGAGCTGTCTTCCAGTTTCTCCGACGTAGTTGCTTTGTCCGCAACTGCACCAGATCCGATAAACGACTCCAGACGTTTCTAGCCGTGGCAGTGGGTTTCATGACCAGACGCCTGATGGTTGCCTCCGGTCTGTGTGCCACTCCAACCCCAAGTGGTGCGAGAAGGCGGCCGACAGCTTCCGAAACGTTCTTGACATACAGAAGTGCCCGCCAAGACTTGGTGTCCGTGCGGTTAGGCCTTTCGTCCCTTATGCGTATGCACCGGTCGACGAAGTTGCGCGGGTAGCCATTGGCTTTGAAGACCCGTCGGAGGTATTGTAGTTCAGCAATTTTGTCTTCCGGCTCACTGCAGTGCGTTTCGACACGCCGAAAGAGCGTCCTTACACAACTGCGTTTGTGGCTGATTGGGTGGTTACTGTAGAGGTTCAGTACTTTCATCGTATTTGTCGCTTTCCTGAAAACTTTGGTCTTTAGTCCACCACAATCCTTGCGGCATACGAGGACATCCAGGAAGGCCAGCTGGTTGTTCTCTTCCTCCTCCATCGTAAATTGAATGTCCGAGAAGACGGCGTTGAGATGTTCTTGGAATGTCAACACCTGATCCCGTTCGATGACGACGAAGGTATCATCCACATACCGGACCCAGAATTTCGGTCTGTGGTGTTGGAAGACCAGCGACTCTAACCGTTGCAGGACCGCCTCGGCGATGAATCCCGAAATCGGCGAACCCATTGGTGTGCCCTTCACCTGTTCGTAGATTGTCCCGTCGAACGTGAAGTACGTCCTGAGACAGAGCTTCAGGAGCTGAAGGATTTGGGCGTGTCCAAGACGGTTCTCCGTTTCATCGTATTTGCTTTGTAGAGGCAGTTCAATTGTCTCGATCGCCAGGTCCTGGGGAATAGAAGTAAAAAGGGATGTAACATCAAAAGATACCATGACCTCATTTGGATGGATGCTTACCCCTTTGAGTTTCTCCAGGAATTGTGCTGAATTGTCAGCAACGCGTCAACGCGTCAGATGGTCGAGCAATCATCACGCCAACCTTCAAACGCACGTGATGAAATTGCAGCAATTATCGACTCGAATGTTGGTCATCAAGCAATGATCACACCAAGTGTGACAATCCCGGATGAGGGAATGAGCCGTGAACATTCATAGGTATGCGGTAGCATGGCTACTGTATCCTATAAATACCGCAGTCCCTTGTGCAACAACCACTCGTTTCTGATCTTTTGTCTCTGATGATGGATTCAACTAGGAATCCGAAACGACAGGCTAATAAAGCTCTTGTCCCGACGATCGTGTCTCCTTCTTCAAGACTACTTCCCGGGACTCGGCTCTTCGCTTCTATTGGCAATACTAACTCTAGGCATTTTGGTAAATCTTGAACAGTTTATTTTGACCAATCTAGGAAATATTTAGCCCCCTCGGTAGGATTCGAATGCAAGAGATAAAGGACAAAAAATGAGTTCACCTAACGCTCTGACCATCTGAGTTACGAGACCTCAACAGGAACCGTAAATTAAATCGCATTCGGATCAAGCCTACTGCAGCGTACGGTATCTACTAACTCTAAACTTTGTTACAGTGAAACATAATGCTAACTCTATGATTATTATGAGGAAAAGTGTAGCTGAAGCATCTTTTAGAAATGCGTCCAAAAGACAGAAATTGCCTTGTTTATCCACTTTGGGATAGCTGCCACCGCCTCTTGCCGATAAGATACTAATCTTGCATCCCATCCAATCCTATTTGGCCAATATCTTTTAGTCTGCCCAAACCTGCCGGTTTAGAGGTCGAACTACCGCAAAAAATCGCCGCAAAACAATGCTTCGTGCACTGGGGCCTATGGACAGGGCAGTATTTTCGAACCAGGCCACGGTGAACGCGTAAACATGGCTGATGAATAGGTGTTTTTGGAATTCTGATTTATTCGAGCCTGTCGTAAACAACAATTAATTAAGTTGGGCCTGGTAGTAATCTGGTGGGTTCTAGGTGAATTACTCAAGAAATCCTGTTTGGGCAGTCAGCTTTCTGAATCAGAGTTGGTAGATCCCATACCTTGCAGTAGGTTGGGTGTGTAACTCGACCCGTCTCCCGAATGTGGCCTTGTAGCTCGGTTGTTTAGAGCGTTGGTTGTACTAAAGCCATCTCCCTGCTGTCGTGGACTCGAATCCCACCGAATTGCCGAGCTTTTTACAAGAGAGTCAATGAGTAATAGACAAGATTCTAAACGGTGGTACAAATGCGAAAAGGGTAACAATCGAGAGAGGGTACCCAACAAATACTGCCGGCCAAAGCAGCGATCATATCGCAACTGTCCTAAGCTATGCAGCCACTGACTCAGCCGCACACTGGCGACTGCGGTAGCGAAAAGTAGCAAGGCAGGGAAATGTGGGAGGGGACAATGAGAAGGAATTGGATTTATGGAGTTTTGCAAGCAAACTTATTGTTGGTTGTACTAAAACCCTTGCCTTGCTATCGTACGTTCTAATTCTACCGAGGTGGCCGGGTTTTCAGAGTTTGGTCTATATAAAATATTAACTATGTTGACGGTGCGTCCACCAATCGGGTTACGTGGCGCGTTCAACCCGTTTTGCGAGGTAGCTAGATTGAACCGTAAAGCAAAACAGGACAGGCACGTCCCGTAACCTGATCGTTGGACCTACTTCCAACGTCATATATATATATACATAATGATACAGGGGCGCTCACCGTTCTTTAAGAACTCACTTGTTCGGTTGCGCCATACGGGCTCTCTCTCGAGCCTTACCAACAGCCGCACAGCAGCGCATGATATAGGCAGTATTCTATTACCGACAAAGACAAGGGAAACTGGAATGGCCCGAAGTGTGGAAACCCTGGGGCTCGAATCCGCGACCTGTTAGCTAGAGGCAACATTTACACTGGCTAACAAATGCAACAGTGAGTCAAGATATCACTATCAACAAATCAACTTCTTGTTGTTTTGGCATGATTCTTATGCCGATAGTTACATAGATTGTCATCAAAATGTTTATCCTTCACAAATTAAATGATCAACCTTTTCAAAAGACTTGTGATGTACTTTTTCAATAGTTCACGAAATTGGGGAGGCGTCAACTTAGCATGTCTACTTCTAACGCAACTAGCATTGCCCGATTTGAGGTAGACAATTGTTGCAAATATGTTTTCTTTAACTGTACATTGCTGTGTGTTAAAATACATAGCCTGGGAAACTGCCGATTTTAATTGTAAGTGTTGGACTAGGTTTTTAGTCTAAATCATTTCACAGTTCACTTTGAAACAATGCTTGAAAAGTAGGCGGTTTAATTTTATTTTAAACTACCTTTGGGTGGAATGGCAGAGATAATAACACTTGTCTTTTAGGTAAATAAGGTTTATTTCTGAAACAAAAGCATATTGAGGAGTGGTAATTTTTGCAAGAAACTGGTTACCGTTAGGGAAAACTATATACGCATACATTGGTGCCAGCGTTTGTTAAAAAAACAACGCGCAGTTATAATTGATGATTAAATACCGACGAGGGCGCACGTCCCTCATGGACATTTTTTCTTTTTGTTGGTGTGAAAAACCATCGTACTAAGCCCTGTCCCTAATCTTCGAGTGAATAAGTGATTAAGTATTATGCCGTTGAGTGCTCAATACGCGCTTTCCTTGACAGCAATTATTTGCACTCAAAAATGTCTCCTATGATAATTTTAAAGATTACTTTGCGAGTCTAACACAGGTGTTTTGTAAGATTCCCAAATATAGGTGACTGTCCTTCACAAAGTCTTTGAATGATACAGTCAACTCCACGGTGTTATTCCGTTCCTGCAGTGTTCAGCAACCACTCAAAGGTACCTAGCAGGCGAGTCTCGACGCAATAGATGTATCATCAGGACAGCTGCTGCCGACCGCCACTCACAGCCCAGGACCAGTCGAACACGTTTGCCGCACCTTTCCACGAGTTACAGGAGGCCACGCAGCCGATCAGTCGCTGCTGTTCTTGTATAAATTCGAGATGCCTATCAACATCTAGGCAAGAAAATCAAGTGGACTAAAATTCCGCGGATCCTCCACTGTGTCCCACAATTAATTGCTTACGAAACCGATGTAAATACGTGCTCAAAGTGAAAACAAGACAGAAGATGGTTTGTTTTATACCCTGAAGTAAGTCGTGCTTCCAATTTTCCTAAATTTTAGTGGCTTTCACGAATTAAAAACTAAAGTCCACAGCTTTATTACCCATGAAAAATAGGGGCTTTGAGCTATCTATTTCGGCAGATGTAATATGTGTGAAAGGGGTCGTTAGAGGCGGGGAATACTCCTATTGGTAGCATTCACAGTGACAAAACCGGCGAAGAGGATGCTTTAAGTACTGAGAAATTCATTTGCGTAATATATCTTAGGCAAATCATGCAAGGAACCTTTGAAACCTCTCAATCATGGACTTTTACCGGGAAGAGGTTCGCATGCTGCAAACCACGGTAAAATCAATGGGTAGCGAGAGTTATTCCCTAAAGGAGGTCTGTAAACCCTACCTCATCCGTAAAATTAAGCATAGCTTACGACAAATGAATTACGCGGCCGCAGAAACAGGCATTAGAGGCTGTTTACGAGGGTTCCGATCGTGAACTGTTTTATGCGCTATCGTATTGAAAGTAGGATAAGGAGTGCGCCTTTCATTTGAAACGAACGCACTTTTCAGCTTCCATAAACCTTTGAAGCTGGCCGGTTAATTACTGCGACTTCAGTCCGGCTTAGGCGTGTAGTCAGCGCGAGCACTTCATTTGCGTTTAGGCACTATCAGATAATGTTGATAGTCGGTCGACTTGTGTAAACGAAAAAAAGACAGTCGGATTCAAGCGGTCGTGAAACCAGCCTTCTGACAGTGATTCTGAAAATGTCCATTTAAATAAGGCAGTGGGAAAACGGCGGCTTAGTTTTAAAGCCGACTGATTATCATTTCAAATCGTGACCCAGTGTCAGAGAGGAGGAAGGACAGCCGCCAATCTGAATCAGTCATGAGATTAGGGCTGCGACAGATGTGACAGTACGCGAAGGTAAGGCCAACGTCTCTGATTTCCTATTGGACGACAACCAAGCGAACGACGCTCAAATAACTCCCATGTTCAGAAATCGGAGCGTTTAAATTAGTCTTCCAAGCGGACAACAAGGCGCTTTCCAATTAGAGTTCATCAAACGGTGTACGTGACAATGAGAAGTGCGAATTACACCCCTTGTTTTGTCCGTGAATTGGTTGGCTTCGTTGGGGAGCAAAATTTTGCGAAGTATGTTGACTTTGGCGACGAATATGGAGCTTGCATCTTCGGGCAAATCAAAATTTATTTAATAGGATCGTCTGTGAATTACTTCTTTCATCAAACTGACTGTATTGGCGGCCGGCATGCAATCTGGCTAATGAAAGTTCGCAGGTGAACCCCGCACCGTTATCAAGCAAAAATGTCAATTTCTGCAATTTC